TGCATCCTCAATCACTGCAATCTTAATTTGTTCAAGTCTAGAGTTAACCCTCATCTTCCCTGTATATCCACAGAAACTGTGCCTCTTACTCTGTAACACTCTACCTGGAGTGGCTCCCAGACCTTGTACACGGTGAAATTCATTGTAAATAGAAAATTCATGCGGTACCCCTATGACCCTGTCACAAAGAGTCAGATAGGAGAAAAACTACCTAGCGAAATATCATTTCTTTTTCAAGACGGGGAAAGTATGGCTCTCCACAGCTTTATGACCTTTGTAACTCTAAGCAAGGTCCGGCTTTTCACTATCTCGCTTTCATTCAGCTCTTCTATCCCTTCCCACAAAGTATCAAGGTAGGTCAGTCGCCTTTTCCTTTTATCTCTTCTTTTTTTCTTAATATCCTGTCTGCGTTTTTTTGGTTCCACCCTACACAAGGAATTTCAAAACACCTTGCACTCCCAAATTTATAGGCAGAAGCACACAAATGCATTTCTTCCTAGCCAATAAAACAGCCCAGTTCTTGGTTCCATCTGACTCAGTCCCGGTCTGTCTTGTTATCAGACTGCTACGTTCGCTTGTCCGAATTTGCTTTTGTGTGTCAACCCCAGTTCTTGGTTTGTGAAGTCTTTGCCATTATCTCTGTTTCTTTGCCCTATTACTGTTCATCTGCATTACATATATTGCTTGCTTCCTTTATATTATTTTTTTCTTGTTATCGCTTATAATGGACTTTATCAATTGTTTGTTAGGAAGTTCTGCCATTTATTTACATATAACCATGGCTACTCACTCTACACTTACGTTCATAAAACAACGCCATTCAGTGAGCATCTACCTTGAGTGGCTCTTGAGCCTTGTATTGGGTGAACAATAACCTAAAAAAAACAAGACTCAAATCAACATATATACAAGCCAACCAAAGATTCCAAGTTCACCGAATGATAATGAAAACAACAAATACCAACACTGAGCGGCTAACGTCATCCTTGCTCGATTTCCATTACTTGCTTATAATCTTAACCATTTCCAGTCGAGAGTTACCCGTTATCTGTCCACTCAATAACGTAAAAAAAAGACAAGACTCAAATCAACATCTCTTCCTGCCCAATAAAATAGGCCAGTTCTCGGTTTCAGCTGACTCAGTCCCGGTCTGTCTTTTCTTGAAGTCAGAACGTTATGTTCGTTTATCTGAATTTTCTCTTATGTGTCAAGCCCAATTCTTAGTTTGTGAATTTTTTGCCATATTACTGTTGATTTGCCTTGCATATATTGTTTCCTTGTAATTATTTTTTGCCCTGTTCTTTCTTCATTTTTTTTCTTGTTATCGCTTATAATGAACTTTATCAATTCTGTTTGTTAGGCAGTTCTGCCATTTATTTACATTTAAACATGGCCACTCACTCTACAGCAGGCTTCCACTGCGCCACTCTTTCCAAAATCATTTTCCTCTTATTGAGTCCCAGAAATTTAAACTATCTCCTTCTGATTTTAAGTATAAGTGTTGTTCTAGTTTCCATTTCCTTAAAATTTCCTCGTTGTTCAACTGTTCCGTCCATGGTGTTCTTACCATCCTTAGAACCATATCTCTTTGAGTCTCATCTTCATCTGTGAGGAAAACACCCAGCACTCACAGCCAGATAGGAGGATATGATATAGCAGTTAAGTATTCTTTTCTTTATTTCTTAACCCTAGAATACTAACCATCAATTAAAGTTACACCACTACTAACCATGGGTATATCATACCCGATTTTGAAAATATCAAAAAAAAAAAAAAAAAATTAAATAAAATCTTTAAATAAAATTTTGTAAATTGCTATTATGTTTGAACCAAAATTCACTCATGATTTAATGATCTGAATTAAGGAGCGCTTAATTTTGAGATTCTCTGCCTAACTGTTGAAGTTGTCTACGCAAGATATAATGATGTTCCAGAAAGAAATGCTGTCAGTAACAACAATAGGTGTTGACGCCCATGTTAAATGTTTACTATAACATGTTATTTTCCTAATAGTAATCCTAGAACAGTAACCATCAATTAAAGTTACACCATTAATAACCATGGGTATATCATACCCGATTTTGAAAATATCAAAAACAAATGTTAAATATAAATCTTTATTAGAAATATTTTACATGCAGGCACTTCAAACTTTGTACCTTGAGTTAACATTAATAGGAACTGAAAAACATTATTTAGGTAAGAAATCAGGTACTGAAAATTGTAATTAAAAATAGGAAAATTTGCGCTGGATACTGTATACCCATGGTTTGTGTTCTAGGATTAATTCTAGCTTAGTTTCTGTATTGATTGATTGACTGATTTGCTTTTTACGGTTAATTAACCTGTTGAAGATTACATTTGACATTGTAAGATTTTTTTCTTTGGATAATAATGATTCACTGATAGAAATCTTACTAATTAACCCATAGCTGGTGGGAGAAAAGGTGGCTTCTTACATGCCCAATTTGCGCGTAAGGGAATATAACGATTCCGGCCGGAATTGAAACTGGGTTCTCTGATTTCTAATTCTGATATGTTGTCCATGACACCAACCACACATCCAAGCTTAGAGCACCTGATATTCCCAAGCGGTCACCCATTTAAGTGCTGTAAAGGCTCCACGTTGATTAATTTTATTGATCGTACGGGGAAGGTATGGCATTCGGAAGCAAAAGAATAACACTTTCTTTTGCTTCCGAATGCCATACCCTCCCCGTACGATCAATAAAATTAAGGAAGAAAAAATAGGAGGGAGAGATAAGTGTAAAAGGTAGAGGGGAAAAATGGTAATCAGAAGAGAGGGAATAAAAGAATGTGTGAGAGAAAGAGAAAATAGGAGGAAGAGAGAAGAGTGAAAGGAGAAAGGAAACATGTTAATCGGGAGCATAAAAATGTCTGAAAGGGAGAAAAATAGGAGGAAGAGGGAAGAGTGAAAGGTAGAGGGGAAAACATGGTAATCAGAAGAGAGGGAACAAAAGAATGTGTGAGAGAAAGAAAAATAAGGAGGAAGCTTGAAAAGTGGAAGAAGGAAGGAAAGACATGGTAATCGAAAGAGATGAGGCAAAAGAATATTTGAAAAGAAGAAAAAATAGGAGTAAGAATGAAATGAGGAAGGAAAGATATGGTAACTGGAAAAGAGGAAGTAAAAGAATGTGTGAGGGGTAGAAAAAAAGCAGGTGGAAGAGAAAAAATTGAAAGTAGGTGAGATAGATATGCAAATCGTAAGAGAAGAAGCAAACATTTTTGAGAACAAAAATGTAGGAGGAGAGAGGATAGCGGAAAAAGGAATGAGTGACATGTTAACCGATAGAGAGCAAACAGTATATGAGCGGGAGAAAAATAGTAGGACAAGAAGAGAATTGATAAAGCAGGAGGGATAGACATGAGAGTAGAATGAGCGGATTCAAAAGAATGAGAGAGAGGAAGATAAAGTAGGAGGAAGTGAGAATTTTGATAGGTGGAGAGACAGACATGGTAATCGGAAGAGAGAAAAAAAAAGAATATTTGAGAGGAAGAAAAGTAGAAAAAAGAGAGTCGAAACGAGGAAGGAAAACGACATGGTAATTGAAAGAGAGGAAACAAAAGAAGGAGTGAGAAAAAAAAAAGGGGGGAAGTGAGAATTTTGATAGGTGGAGAGACAGACATGGTAATCGGAAGAGAGGGAAGAAAAGAATATTTTAGAGGAAAAGTAGAAGGAAAAGAGAGTCGTTTTGAAACGAGGAAGGGACGACATGGTAATTGAAGAGAGGAAACAAAAGAATGAGTGAGAGGAAGATAAAATAGGAGGAAGTGAGAATTTTGATAGGTGGAGAGACAGACATGGTAATCGGAAGAGAGGGAAGAAAAGAATATTTGAGAGGAAGAAAAAGTAGAAGGAAAAGAGAGTCGTGAAACGAGGAAGGAACGACATGGTAATTGAAAGAGAGGAAACAAAAGAAGGAGTGAGAGAAAGAAAAAGTAGGGGGAAGTGAGAATTTTGATAGGTGGAGAGACAGACATGGTAATCGGAAAGAGAAAAGAAAAGAATATTTGAGAGGAAGAAAAAAGTAGAAGAAAAGAGAGTCGTGAAACGAGGAAGGAACGACATGGTAATTGAAAAGAGGAAACAAAAGAAGGAGGAGAGAAAGAAAAAAGTAGGGGAAGTGAGAATTTTGATAGGTGGAGAGACAGATATGGTAATCGGAAGAGAGGGAAGAAAAGAATATTTGAGAGGAAGAAAAAGTAGAAGGAAAAGAGAGTCGTGAAACGAGGAAGGGACGACATGGTAATTGAAAGAGAGGAAACAAAAGAATGAGTGAGAGGAAGATAAAATAGGAGGAAGTGAGAATTTTGATAGGTGGAGAGACAGACATGGTAATCGGAAGAGAGGGAAGAAAAGAATATTTGAGAGGAAGAAAAGTAGAAGGAAAGAGAGTCGTGAAACGAGGAAGGAACGACATGGTAATTGAAAGAGAGGAAACAAAAGAATGTGTGAGAGGAAGAAAAAGTAGGAGGAAGTGAGAATTTTGATAGGTGGAGAGACAGACATGGTAATCGGAAGAGAGGGAAGAAAAGAATATTTGAGAGGAAGAAAAAGTAGAAGGAAAAGAGAGTCGTGAAACGAGGAAGGGACGACATGGTAATTGAAAGAGAGGAAACAAAAGAATGAGTGAGAGGAAGATAAATTAGTGGGAAGTGAGAATTTTGATAGGTGGAGAGACAGACATGGTAATCGGAAGAGAGGGAAGAAAAGAATATTTGAGAGGAAGAAAAAGTAGTAGGAAAAGAGAGTCGTGAAACGAGGAAGGGACGACATGGTAATTGAAAGAGAGGAAACAAAAGAATGAGTGAGAGGAAGATAAATTAGTGGGAAGTGAGAATTTTGATAGGTGGAGAGACAGACATGGTAATCGGAAGAGAGGGAAGAAAAGAATATTTGAGAGGAAGAAAAAGTAGAAGGAAAAGAGAGTCGTGAAACGAGGAAGGGACGACATGGTAATTGAAAGAGAGGAAACAATAGAATGAGTGATATGAAGATAAATTAGGAGGAAGTGAGAATTTTGATTGGTGGAGAGACAGACATGGTAATCGGAAGAGAGGGAAGAAAAGAATATTTGAGAGGAAGAAAAAGTAGAAGGAAAAGAGAGTCGTGAAACGAGGAAGGAACGACATGGTAATTGAAAGAGAGGAAACAAAAGAATGTGTGAGAGGAAGAAAAAGTAGGAGGAAGTGAGAATTTTGATAGGTGGAGAGACAGACATGGTAATCGGAAGAGAGGGAAGAAAAGAATATTTGAGAGGAAGAAAAAGTAGAAGGAAAAGAGAGTCGTGAAACGAGGAAGGGACGACATGGTAATTGAAAGAGAGGAAACAAAAGAATGAGTGAGAGGAAGATAAATTAGTGGGAAGTGAGAATTTTGATAGGTGGAGAGACAGACATGGTAATCGGAAGAGAGGAAGAAAGAATATTTGAGAGGAAGAAAAGTTGTAGGAAAAGAGAGTTTGAAACGAGGAAGGGACGACATGGTAATTGAAAAGAGGAAACAAAAGAATGAGTGAGAGGAAGATAAATTAGTGGGAAGTGAGAATTTTGATAGGTGGAGAGACAGACATGGTAATCGAAGAGAGGGGAAGAAAAGAATATTTGAGAGGAAGAAAAGTAGAAGGAAAAGAGAGTCGTGAAACGAGGAAGGGACGACATGGTAATTGAAAGAGAGGAAACAATAGAATGAGTGAGATGAAGATAAATTAGGAGGAAGTGAGAATTTTGATTGGTGGAGAGACAGACATGGTAATCGGAAGAGGGAAGAAAAAGAATATTTGAGAGGAAGAAAAAGTAGAAGGAAAAGAGAGTCGTATTGAAACGAGGAAGGGACGACATGGTAATTGAAAGAGAGGAAACAATAGAATGAGTGAGAGGAAGATAAATTAGGAGGAAGTGAGAATTTTGATAGGTGGAGAGACAGACTTGGTAATCGGAAGAGAGGGAAGAAAAGAATATTTGAGAGGAAGAAAAAGTAGAAGGAAAAGAGAGTCGTGAAACGAGGAAGGAACGACATGGTAATTGAAAGAGAGGAAACAAAAGAATGAGTGAGAGGAAGAAAAATTAGGGGGAAGTGAGAATTTTGATAGGTGGAGAGACAGACATGGTAATCGGAAGAGAGGGAAGAAAAGAATATTTGAGAGGAAGAAAAAGTAGAAGGAAAAGAGAGTCGTGAAACGAGGAAGGAACGACATGGTAATTGAAAGAGAGGAAACAAAAGAATGTGTGAGAGTGTGAAAAACGCAGGAGGAAGAGAAAAGAGTGAAAAGAGGGTGATATATGTGACAATTGGAAGAGAGAAAGCAAAACTGTTTGAGATGAACAAAAGAGGAGAGAGGATAGTGAAAAGAGGAATGAAAGACATGGTAATCGGTAGAGAGGAAACAAAAGATTGCGTGAGAGGGAGATAAATTAGGAGGAAGATGAAGAGTGGAAGGAGGAGAGAATGACCTGTTAATTTGAAAAGAGAAGGGTGAAAGGGTGATGGAAAAGACATAGTAAGTAAAAGAATGCATCATAGGAAGCTTACTCTGTGACATAGATTGACTTACTGGACACTATTTGAGAATCAAATGCATATTTAATATCCTGAAGTGTTACGTGTTTTAATCCCGATATGAAAACCACACAGTCTCAAATACGTATGCAGATAGATAGATAGATAGATAGATAGATAGATGTAAGTGTACAGTATTAAATAGATATAAAGTAGATAAATAGATATAAATTAGATAGATAGATAGATAGATAGATAGATAGATAGATAGATGTAAATGAATAGTATTAAATACATATGAATTAGATAGACAGATAGATAGATGTAAGTGAACAGTATTAAATAGATATGAATTAGATAGATAGATAGATAGATAGATAGATAGATAGATAGATAGATAGATAGATAGATAGATAGATGTAACTAAAAAGTATTAGATATGAATTGGACAGATAGATGTAAATGATAAATACATATGAATTAGATATAAATGAACTGTATTAAATAGAAATCAATTAGATAGATAGATAGATAGATAGATAGATAGATAGATAGATAGATAGATAGATAGATAGATAGATAGATGTAAATAAACAGTATTAGATATGAACTAGACAGATATATGTAAATGAACAGTAGTAAATAGATATCAATCAGATGTAAATTAACAGTATTAAATAGATATCAATTAGATAGATAGATAGAGAGATAGACAGACAGACAGACAGATAGATAGATATTTAGATAGATAGATAGATAGATAGATAGATAGATAGATAGATAAACAGTATTAAATACATATAAATTAGATAAACAGACAGATAGATGTAAATGAACAGTATTAAATAGATATGAATTAGATAGATCGGCCAGAAGGCAGTAAAGCCAGAAAAAGGTAATGTCTGTTCTGTCATTGTTTTACTCCAAAATATCTAGTCATAGACGACAGTTGAAAAGAAATCCTATCTTAGCAGGGAAGCCGTTCATGTGACTCACAGCCTGAATCATTGCCACTGGAGAGATATCGGACAGTTAACCAGTTCAGTGTGTTTCTTTGTTTGTTAAGATTGTCATAATACCTGCCAGATCCAATCGATATTCTGTCATCTGGGTTTTGACAAAACTACGAACTCTGCGGAAAACTTAGTCAATGAGATCCGTAAAAGCTTGGAAAAGAATTGATTTAAGGAGTAACAAGAAAAAAAAAGATGGAGGAAAAACGAGACGACGAAAATTGTAGAAGAAGAAGAAGAAGAAGAAGAGATAGAAACGGACAAGGATTAGCAGAGACAAGTGTACGACGAAAAAAGAAAAAAAAAACAGTATGTGGAAACGGAGAAGTTGGACAAAAATAAAAGCCATCACTTGCCATCTACTGTTTTCCTGTACCCAATTTTCTTTATTGTCTTTTCTCCTCGTTAAAGTTTTCTCATTATCTCCGTATCACTAGCAGTAACCTCTTGGGTCTTAGTGCCTTATCACTTTGAAGTGACAAAATGATTTAAAAAAAAAAAAAGAGTTGTGACGAATGGGCAAATCATCTAACTCAAAATAAATAAATAGATAAATAAATAAAAAGAATTCGTGTCTTGTGCACGGTTTACCGAAGAAAAGGAATAAGTAAATCCTGGATAATTGCTGCGTAAGATATTTGTTTTTATTACTATCCTCGACTATCATGACTAATCGCAAGAAAGTCCTGGTAAGACGATTAACTACATCCAACAGTAAAGCTTCTGATCAGGAGGCTTTGAGGAGCGTGGAACCACCCCTCAATTGCTGGTGTTCCCAGGTCCACCCTGACCCGGGGTGGTAGCACTTGTTAGGTTTCAGGCTATGGGCAAATATTTAACCACCAAACTGGGGTTAAAACACTATGAAAGTGTAAAAATAGGTTTTAATATTAGCATACCAGTAATAAATTTTAGAAGAAAAATTATTACTAGTAATATTTTTTTTACCAGCAATACATTTTTGAAAAAATATATTGCCAGCAATAAAAATCTTGTCGGCATTAAATAACCCATTGAGGTTGATATGCCGTAAAAAAAAAACTCAACCAATAGCACAATTTACTTCCTCAATAAAGCCGTTGATTTTCTTGACGAGGAGCTTATTTTTGGTTCATGAGCCAGAGTGAGTTCGCTGGACTAGAATCTGAAATTTGGATTTTTATTTGATTACCCTATTTTATTTTGATTTTTAGATTTTTGACATTAGACGTCTGATTGGTCTTTCCTGCCGTATGGATTTGCGATACAGACATTTTTTCCCCATCCTTATTGTTTTGAACGTGTGTTAACAAATTCATTTTCCTCATTTTCCGCGTAAAGAAATACAACGAAACCGACTGGAATTGAAAGTCGGCCCTCCGATTTCCAATACCGAACCATTATCCATTACACCACCCGCACATCCAAGATTACAGTCCCCGGTATTTCAAAGCGGTTACTCATCTCAGGACTGAGCAGAATCAATGTTGCTTAACTTCGGTGATCGCACGAGAACCCGTGTTTGAACGTGATATGCTCGTAAGCTGGAAACTATTTGAAGAAACAGCTGTCGCCGACTGTCGCGACCAATCGTAAAATTTACCTCCTCAATAAAAGCCGTTGATTTTCTTGATAAGGAGCTTATTTTTTTTTTTTTTTGTTAATGAAAAAGAATGATTTCGCTGTACTAGAATCTGTTAGATTTTTATTTGATTACCCTATTTTATTTTGCTTATCTATTACACCACCGACACACCCAAGATTACAGTCCCCGGTATTTCCAAGCGGTCACTCATCTCAATACTGAGCAGACTCAATGTTGCTTAACTTAAGGGGATCGCACGAGAACCGGCGTTGGAACACTAATATATTTTGCTTTTTGGATATTTGAAATCATTGAGATTTCTGACTCGTCTTTCTGCCTTTTCGATTTGCGATACGAATTTTTTTCACTGTCCTTATTTAGAACGTATGTAATAGTAAGGCACTCTTTTAGTATTCTTATTTTAGTCTGGCAAATGATTTTCTAAGCGAAACTTAGATGTGGCACAAGGCCGAAAGTATGGGGCACCCAGTGAAAATCGAACTCACTATTCAGTCTTAAATGACCTATCGAGACAAACATGCTAGCCATTACACCACGCCGAGATGCCCTAATGTTTTTTCTAAGTGAAACTTAGATGTGGAACAAGGCCGAAAGTATAGGGTACCCAGGGAGATACGAACTCACTATTCAGTCATAAATGACCTATCGAGACAAACTTGCTAATGATTACACCACGCCGAGATGACCTAATGTTTTTCTAAGCGTAGCTTAGATGTGACACAAGGCCGAAAATATGGGGCCACCCAGTAAAGATCGAACTCACTATTCAGTTTTAAATGATCTAGCGAGACAAGATTGTTAACCATTAAACCACGCTGAGATTCCCAAGTTGACATGCCCAAGATCACAATGTAAGTGTCTTATCAATTGAAACCATTATTGCTAATCAAATCAACGGGGTGCAATTTAAATAAATTTCGGTTGGGTTTCTTAATTTTCAAAAGTTCAATAAGCGTAGCGCTTCTGTTTATTCGCACGCCCTTGGAGTGTGAATATTACACTTTCTGAAAAAAAAACATGTCTAATGATATAAGCGGGAATGAAACGGGAAATGAAAAAGAGGCTACGAAAGAGGAAGGGAAGGCATAAAAAGCTTGAGAAAACGATTGGAAAACCATGTGAAAGGAAAAAAATATATATATATACAGTGTGTGATGGGCAAATTATCGCCATTTTATCTTTTTAATTTCGCGCATACGCCTTGTTTGTTTCTGATTTTGTTGACTGAGTAGTATTGTAGAATTAGTTGATAACCGTCTGTGAGAAAAAAAAGTACCACAACACAAATCACTCCGACAGAAATTTGTAAAAAGGCATGCTGTAATGCTTGGCATTAGCACCGGACGTTCCAATACGAACATTTCAGAGTGTCAACCTCAGGACAGTGCAGAGGATTGGGAAAGAGTTGGATGATATATCAAGTCAACATCATGGTGTTTGGAGTGATCACTAGCGATGGCGACGTTATGCCTCCATTCATCTTCCCACAGGGCCTCAGACTAAACACGGGTGCCTACATCAAGCGCTTTGAGGAGGTAGAGTTTCCCTACGTCAAGAGGTTCACTGCTGGAAGACGCTATGTCTGGCAAGAGATCTGCAACATGCCACACATGCAGGTGAACCCCAATTTCTGGGACCACATCACCCCTTACATCTAACTATCTGCAACTCCATTGATTATTATGTGCAGGGCGCTGTTCAGCTAGAGACCAGAAAAACACTTCGTAACATCAAAGATGAACTGAAGGCAAGGATTATGTCAACATTCACCAACTTAAACAAAGAGACCGTCCGAAAGAATTTCAGAGGATTCTGAAGTCGTTTGGAGGCTGTGTTTGAATCTAATGGTGATTTTATTGAATATATTTTATATATACTTGTTGGAATAATCCATACTAACCTTTCACTCCATCCAGCATAATCCACTTCACACCAAAATGTCTATCAACCAATCAAAACTCCAGTTTCAGCAAACGAAGTTTCCTATTGGTCAAAAGCCTTAGAACTGTAGCAAATTCACGTGAAAATGTTATTTCGCGCGCAAGCCGCCGGAGCCTATATTTTTTGTTCAGAAATCTATAAATAGGAAATTCTTGATCGCTTCAAACAGTCAGACCTTCATTCCTAGAGAGATGCCAAACTGACCCACGCAAGTCAAAATTCTGACCAACCAAGACTTTGCCGCGAAAAATACCTCTGACTCAACAATCCACAAGCACACTCTATCTCTCTCAGGAACGCTATCCAAACATCACTTACGATACTTTAAAAAGTGACATTTTTCTCACTACTTAATAAGTATTAGTAAACAAACAATCAAATTCTCACATAACTAAAGGTACGCAACTCCTACCAATTTTGGACGATAATACAAACAAACTTACGTACACACACTAATAACTGAACTAGCACAAAGGACAATTTCGTACGTAACTGGACACTTCGTTTAATTTTATGAACAAATCTGAATAGCAATTGCAAACACTTTTAAACATTCACAATAATATTCCACGCAACAAAATACATCTATTCTCATTTATCCATCAAAGTTCAACTCAATTTTATTCTTGAATTCTATATAAACCAATGTTATTGTTGTACATTTAATGTTTGTCTTTGCTTTCAACCCTTTTGCATGATTTGTTTCTATTGTTTTTTTTTTTAATTGTTGTGGACGAACACCAAAAATCCTTCTGATCACTCAAAATACATTCACCAGTCTGCAACATACTCTTTTAGTATTTTGAGATAGTTTTTATGTAATTTTGGTAAATATATCTCTTAAAATGAGATGTCAGTGTTCTTCAACCCCGACTGTAATCCGTTACTCGACCGTGTCCTTTAAAGCCTAGGTTTAATACTAGATTTGTATTTTCAAATTAATACCGGATTTTAGAGTTAACATAATAAAGATAAAGAATTAAGATAAAGAATCCAAACTCTTAGTCCAGTCTTCCTATATGGCAATGAATGCTGGAAAATCTTCTCGCAGATGAAGAGAATTGAGGTAACAGAAATATAATTCTACAGAAGAATCTGTTGAGTACCGACAAAGTTTTATAGAAATTGGAAACAAAAAGGACACTTATAATTAAAATCAGAAGGAGACAGTCGAAATTTATGAATAATTTGACAATTACTGGTCATTGAAGGCAAGGGGGTACAGAGGAATGCAACGTATAACTTATCTAACGAGATTGTGCAAATGGTTGGCAGAACAGGGAGATAGCGAAAAGACAAACTTTACTAAGAGCTACAAAAGACAAGAAACTGTGGAGGGCCATGACTGCTCATGCCCTGAAGGTACGCATCACATAGAAGAACAAGTGCATGTACGCATGGACTCCAATCCCACTTTAAACTTGACCTTATCTCAAATTCTACTCGTGTGGGCATGCAGATAAATACCTATTAGTTTTTCCGCCAACACCTGCTTTTCTTGACTTCTGTGTCCTGTGAGTGTAAAATTCTCCCAGCATTCTTTCCTCATATCCCCTCAAAAGATGTCAGCGGTACTGGCGGAGTTAGAGGTGCTTCCATCGTTACTGGTGGAGATATAAGAACAGGTATTTCGAATGTGTCATATCTTACCCTCATTGGCAATTCTTCACTAGGCGTGACATCTTTCGTATGTCTTGGCTTTAACTGATTTAAATGCCTCTTACATTCAATTCTTCTTCCCTTGAGCACGTATATCACTCTGCCAAGTCTTTCTACTTGTTAGTTTCTATTTTCCTTAAAAATTCGTTGTTACGTGCATATTCTCCCCATAGTATTCTCGGCATTTATCAGCAGAGCCACATATCTGCTGTTTCAAGTCCCCTCTTCATCAGTGAGGGCATTGTTCAACATTTTCTGCTAATTAGATACCGCATCACATTGTCCAACTTTTCTTTTTTTTCCAATGTCATTCGACAGTATCTGTACACTATTTACATTATTCGGACTATTGTCCTCATCTTTGTCGCCATGTTTATCACAACGTTTCGGCCGTTTTACGCTCCCGCATTCTTCCAGTATCTGTCTATATTTCTGAGATCAGGTATTATATACACTATTTACATTATTCGGACTATTGTCCTCATCTTTGTTGCCATATTTATCCGATCCTTCATTATCTGTCTATATTTCTGAGATGAGGTATTATGTACACTATTTACATTATTCGGACTATTGTCCTCATCTTTGTTGCCATATTTATCCGATCCTTCAATATCTGTCTATATTTCTGAGATCAGGTATTATGTACACTATTTACATTATTCGGACTATTGTTCTCATCTTTGTCACCATATTTATCCGATCCTTCGGTATCTGTCTATATTTCTTAGATGAGGTAATATGTACACTATTTACATTATTCGGGCCATTGTTCTCATCTTTGTCACCATATTTATCCGATCCTTCAGTATCTGTCTATATTTCTGAGATGAGGTATTATGTACACTATTCACATTATTCGGACTATTGTCCTAATCTTTGTAGCCATATGTATCCAATCCCTCAGTATCTGTCTATATTTCTGAGATGAGGTATTATGTACACTATTTACATTATTCTGGCTATTGTCCTCATCTTTGTCGCCATATTTATCACAACGTTTCGGCCGTTGTACGATCCGGCCTTCTTCACGTGGTTGGAATGTCGAACTGAATCCTTTATTTCGCTCACTGGGGTAGAATGTTCTAGTTCCACGTGCCTTGTCTAATGGATGCCAGTTATCTCATGTTAATTCCCCTCTCAAAGTTCACCACCGCCTTAACCAGGTATTGAACTCACACTCTTTGTGTCCTGTTACTGGATCTAACTAACGCCTATATCCACTGTGCCATGTGTCCTTGAGAACCTGGCACAGTGGAACTAGAACAATCTACCCCAGTGAGCGAAATAAAGGGTTTAATTCGACATTCCAACCACCTGAGCGTACAACGGCCGAAACGTTGTGATAAACATGGCGACAAAGATGAGGACAATAGTCCGAATAATGTAAATAATGTCATTCTAGTTACAAATTTTCTATAAAAAGTAATTCTCTTTAAAAAAAATAAAAAAAGTCCATGTTACCTTGCTTGATTAGATTTTTTTTTTAAGAATTTCACTCAAAACAAGGCGGGAGTGCCACTGGTTCGCAGTGTGGGGGGGGAGGTTACGTAGAGTGAAGGTTTGAGAAAAACTGTGTATAGGGGGAGTAGGGAAAGGATAAAAGATGGACGGGGTTCAAGACATCAGAAGATGGCGATTGACGTTGCATTTAAATTTTT